CCTCTCCTCCTTTCATCCCCTCCTCTCATCCCCTCCTTTTTCCCTCTCTCATCTTCTCTGCTCTGCTCTGCTCTGCTCGCCACTATGGTCTCCGCTGGAGTCTTTTCGTTTCCTCTTCTGCACTCTTGTTTCTTCTCCCCCTTTTTTCTCATCGCATCTCTCCCTCGCCCTCATTCTCACTTGCTCGACTTGCGCAGCATCTAGCGGAGCCGAGGATGATGATAGTCAGCCTCGAGCCAGGTGTCAACACCTTCCCCTCCTGCTCCTCTCCTCTCTCCTTCCCTCCCTCTCCCTCCCTCCCTCCTGCTGCTCTCCTGCTGCTCTCCTCCCCCCCCCTCTCTCGCTCCCTCCCACTCCTCCTTCAGTCCTCCTCTACCTCTGCCTCTGACTTTTCTTTCTCTTCGTCTCTCTCACTCTCACTTTCACTATCTCGCTCGCTCGCCCATCCTCAAACTTCAGGTTGTTCTCTTGCTAGCTTGGGAGGTCTTGCCCATCCCCTCGGGAGAATTTCTTTCGTCGACTGCTCCCAGTCATGTCAGTTCGCCTCTCCTCCCCAGCCTCCACATCCTCCATCTCTCTCCTCCTTCTCCGCTGCTGCGCCACCTCCTGCTCCTCCTTGCTTCTTCTTTTCCTCTAGCATCCTCCTCCTCGCTACTTCTCTTCTACCTGCTTCCTACCCTTCATCACTTCGTCTCCTCCTCACGGCTCTTGTTACAGTTGGCAGAGGAACGGAAGGACTCAACGATGTCGCAGCAGCGATCAGGCAGCGAGCAGACCAACAGGAGGCTCCCATGACAGCGAGGAGCAGAACGAGCTCGGGAAGATGATTCTCCTGCTCCTGCTCCTGCTCCTGCTCTTCTGCTCCTGCTCCTGCTCCTGCTCTTCTGCTCCTTACTTCCTACACACTTACATACTCACAAAATCTTTCCCTCCTCCTTCTGACGTATTAAATAAATTTAAATCTTCACCCTCTGATTACTCTTTGAGAAGGAGCAGTCAAGGAGGAGCAGGAAGGAAGCTGAGGGAGGGGAGGGGGGGGGAGCTGTTGTTGAAGTAGAGTGATAGAGAGAAGAGATCATATAAAGGCAGTGTAATGTTCGTCGTTGACACCTCAAGCGAAATACTCAAGTGCGGACCTGCCAAGAAAATGACTTAAGCGGTGAGTTGAAATGTCCTCCTGCTCCTGCTTCTACTGCTTCTACTGCTCCTGCTCCTGCATTCTACTTCTGCTCCTGCTCCTGCTCCTGCTCCTGCATTCTACTTCTGCTCCTGCTCCTGCTCCTGCTCCTGCTCCTGCTCCTGCTCCTGCTCCTGCTCCTGCTCCTGCTCCTGCTCCTGCTCCTGCTCCTGCTCCTGCTCCTGCTGCTCCTGCTTCTACTCCTGCTCCTGCTGCTCCTGCATTCTACCCTCTCCACGATCCCACAACCTTTTTCACTTCTTATTTCTTCTCTTCACCATCTTACGCTATGTCCTTGCCCTCCCCTCCACGATCTCGTTCTCGTCATTCCCACCCTCCTCCCCCTCCCTCCTCTTATCTCACGCACTTGGTGCTGTAAGGCTCGCCTCTCTTGGGAGCTCGGTCGAACTGAAGGCTGCGAGGGGACATGAGAGGAGGAGAAAGAGGAGGAGGAGGAGAAGAGGAGGAGGAGGAGAAAGAGGAGGAGGAGGAGAGAGGTATAGAAAGGAGAGGTATCTCACAAGGTTCGACGGTAATGCTCGTCGACTTCCATGATGCATGCTCTGTTGCCGCAGCGATAACCTGAGGGGGGGATTGAGATGCGGGGGCGGAGAAGAACGGGTGGAAGGGACAGGGAAGGGAGAGAGGAGGAAATAGGAAGAAGAAGGGGCAGGGTGAAAGAGCAGAGCAGGAATCGTTGAAGGGCAGCATTAAGAGGAAGGGATGACGGGAAGGAGATGTTTACAGTAGTTTGGTGCAGAGAAAACTGTTAAAACTTTGTTTTGGTGTGTCCAGTGATATCCTTCCATCACCTGATCCAACAAGATCAATGGAACAGACTTGCACGACGACAAGACAAACAGTACAGATCGTCCTCGTCTCGATCTCCATGTCCATCATTATCATATCATCATCATCATCATCATCATCATCATCATCATCATCATCATCATCATCATCATCAGGAGCAGGAGCAGGAGCAGTAACATTCACCATCTGGTGTGCTCGCGTCAAGTTTTCAATGCCATTGTGATGCAAAAATTCTTCTGTGACATCCTCCCCAAAAGTGTGACCTGCCAGTCAAGGTATCAGCCCATCTTCTCCAATCTCCGTCTATCCCCTCCCTCCTCCTTCCCTGCCTCCTCTCCTCTCCTCTCCTCTCCTCTCCTCTCCTCTCCTCTCCTCTCCTCTCCTCTCCTCTCCTCTCCTCTCCTCTCCTCTCCACCCTCTGTCCCTCCCTCCCGCTCCCTATTCCCTCCTCCCCTCCCCTCACCAGTTCCCCTAGGAGAGCTTCCCCATCCTCTCGCCCATTCTTGGGGGTCTGACCACACGAGGTCGCAGAGGGGACCGTTGCTAGGGACCTCCACGAGCTGAGGAGGAGAGGAGAGGCAGATCAGAACGACTCATTGCAGACAAGAGAAGAGCGGGGGAAAGTGGCCAGGCGGAGAGGAAGGAGAATGGTAAACAAGCAAGGAGGAAGGATGACGAGGAAAGGAGGGAAGAGGAGGAAGGCGGAGGAGGAGGGCGGAGGTGGAAGAGGGCGGTGGAGGAGGGCAAAGGAGAAGGAGGAGGAGGAGGAGGAGGAGGAGGAGGAGAACAGGGAAGGGTCCGACGAGATCGTATGAGATTAGTCTCACTCGCTCAATTCCGTTGATGTCATCGACGGCATCAACGAAAGGAGACAACCCTGTGAGATAGTCAAACGATCTCTCCTCGTCTTTCCTCCTGCTCCTCACCTCCATGACAACACAGCATCTGCCCCTCCACCATGGCTGCAATCTGGTGGCAAAACGTCATGGTTGGCAGCAGAGCAGAGGAAGATGCAGGAGCAGTAGGAAGACAAGGACGAGGGGGACGAGGAGGACGAGGAGGCGCAGTGGGCGACGACAACAAGGAGGAGGACGAGGAGGAGGACGAGGAGGAGGACGAGGAGGAGGACGAGGAGGAGGACGAGGACGAGGACGAGGAGGAGGACGAGGAGGAGGAGTGTTTCATCATGATATTCAACTGCATCGTGTTCACATACCGGCAAGTAGTCGAAGAGATCAGTAAAAATCTTCCATACAGAAGCATTCCCATATTTCCTCATACACTGCAACAAAAGATCAGACCTGACCTCCCTCGCTCCTTCCCTCTCCTCTCCTCCTCTCCTCCTCTCCTCCCCTTTCCTATCTCAATTTCAACCTGTTGACCCAACCTTCTCTGCCTCCATCCCATGTCTACCCTGCCATCGACTGCCCTCTCCCTCTCCCTCCCTCTCCCTCTCTTCTCCCTCTCCCTCTCCCTCCCTTCTCCCCTCGCCCTCAATTCCTCTCCTATCACCTCATCGTAGAATCCGTACACTTGTGTAATCTGCCGGCTCTCATGGTTCCCTCGGAGCCTGTCAACAATGAGCTCTCGCCGCGGGCAAACAGCAAACGCACAAGGTAATCCTGTCCGGCCAGCGAACTTTGAGGGCGAGAAGGAGCGTGATGCACTCCACTGAAAACAGTCCTCTCTGGGAAAAGCGAGCAGGGTGAGAGAGGTCAGGACGCAAGGAAGGAGGGAAGGGAAGCTAAAACGAAGGAGATGAGGAAAAGAGCATCGAGAAATGCAAGTACAATGTACACTCACAACATACAACACGAATTACAAGATACACCACAAAACAACCAGCAGCGCCAGAAACAAAACAGCAGGCAGGAGCAGGAGCAGGAGCAGGAGCAGAAGCAGGAGCAGGAGCAGGAGCAGGAGCAGGAGCAGGAGCAGGAGCATCCAACGGCACTACCAAGAGCAAACACAAGGGGGAGGAGGCAGGAAGGTACGACTCCGACACCCTTACATCAACATAGTCGCCCAGGAAAAGGTAGTTGGTGTCTGGTGCTTTGCCTCCAATCTCAAACAGCTCCATGAGGTCCGAGAACTGCCCGTGGATGTCCCCGCACAGGGTGACCGGGGCCCGGACTTGCATCACGTTCTCTTCCTGCGCCAGGATCTCTCTTGCTTTGTTGCATAACGCCTTGACCTTAGTCTGCAGGACGATGATGCGGGTCAGGACAAGACGGTGAAGTGGTAAGGTAAGGAGGAGGGGAAGGCAACGAAGAGGAGGTAAGGATGACAAGGTAGGGATGAGATGAGGAGGAGGAGGAGGACGAGGTAAGGGAGGAGATGGGAAGGAGGAGGAGGGGGAGGAAGACGAAGTAAGGGACCAGGGGGTAAGGAGGAAAGGGTGAGGATGGGGAGAAGGTAAGGAGAAGGAGGAGAAGGTAAGGACGGGGAGAAAGGTGAGAAAAGGATGCGAGGAGGGAGGAGCAGGTAGGGTGGAGGTATGGGGAAAGAACCGAGGTGAAGCAGAAGAGAGGAAAGAAGGAGAAGGAAAAAGAATCTCACTTCAGGCAAAAGATTTCTCTCCATTAAGATCGAAATCTCATCATCCGTTCCCCTCCAGAGCGTCTGATCCTCAGCCGATGGCCCCTCAGCCACCTGTAAACCCCGTCAGTGATGAGACGGGGACAAGAAGAGGGAGCGGCGAACGGAGGGAGGGGAGGGGGAGGGCGAAACTCTTGGTAGTGGCTGGAGGGCGAAGAGGCGAGAAAGTGAGGAGTTGAACAGGCGAGGAGGAGGAGGAGGAGGAGGAGGAGGAGGAGGAGGAGGAAGAGGAGGAGGAGGAGGAGGAGGAGAAAGAGGAGGAGGACCGAAGGCCCCGATGTTGACTTGACTTGCTCTGAGCTCGCGGCTCCAGATCTGAAGACAAGGAGTGAGGAGGAAAGAAACCATGAAAGCAGCTGCGAGCGGGGGGGGCATTTGCCAAAAGGACAGATGCCCATCGCGAGGTTGAGATCATGATACTTACGGCTCCATTCTTCACGCCCTTGTCCTTGCAGTGACGGATCAGAAGAGGAGGTACATACGCACAGGTTCCTGCTCCCTGCCTGCAACAATGCAAGCCGTCAAACATGATGTATGCAGCGCTAGGGCAGCTGCAACTGGTACATTTCGACGAGGAAAGGATCTGATCTCGCTGAGATCTCCCAACACCATAACAGTCTCAGCAACATGAATCTGCATCAAGCTCCTCCAACTCACTGAAGACTGCTGATCCGACCCTTGCCCTGCATTCCCCTCTCTCACCCTTCCATTCCCACAGGCTGTTATAATCCTTATGCACTAATCTTGATAACGTATCCTGCTATGCTCTTGCAAAGCTGCTCCATGCTCATCACAGTGATACCATGAACATCGTCGTACCATCTTCGCCTTCCTCCTCTCAGCCATTGCATCCCCTCCTGCCCCCCCCCCCCCCCCCCTCCCCCCCCCCCCCAACCCTCGCCATTCCTTAGCCTGCGGCCATTGCGCCATAAAGCTCGCAGTAAACAATTCTATGTCCATAATTGTTATCATGCCCCGCCCCTAGCACCCCCTTTCTGAAGTAACTACCCCATCACAGGTAGAACAGACTTGCTACACCCCTTGTAATATCTATAAAAATGTGTCCTAATCAGGGGTACTCCAAGAAACTTTTCGGACCCTACCACATCTCTCCCGTGAAAGATTTTGTCCACCCCCTTCGATATCAGAAGCTCATGAGTAAAAACCCCTTACCAAAAAAAAAAAAATAGTTCTGTCTGAGAGCGGGCCCTCCCGCGGCCGGGCCCCGCCGGGCCGGGTCGGCCGGCAGCCCGGGCCGCCTGCCTGAGGGCCGCTGAGTCGGTGCACTGAGCGACCCGGTGACCGTGACTCGGCGACAGTCGAACTACTGCGGCCGCGGCCGCGCTTGTGACGGGCACGGTAACCGTGACGGCGTTGAATCCTCTTGCAGCCGTCACGGCCGTCAGTACCGGCGTATGCCGCCCCGCGGCACGCGGCCGTCGGGCACTGCGGCCGCGGGGCGCCCACTCAATGATTGATCGGACCGGGGCCCGGCGGCCCGGGGGGGGGGCAGTACTAGTGACTTCAACGGCCGGGCCGGCCGTAGACGCCGTCGCCGGGTTCCGATCTGAGTGAACGGTCCGATCGGCCCGCCGGTGTAACTTGTCAAGTTCAAGTTTACGGTCAGGTTTCAATCATACTAGGCTAGGCCCGGGCGGGCACTGACCGTACGGACTCAGGTGACCTCCGCGCGCAGTGGCCCCCGGCCCCGGGGGGGGGGGCCGGTGGCGCCCGCGAGTCCGTCCGACCGTCACAGGCCCGGCCCGGCCCGCGGCGGTCCCGGCCGGCGACTGGCACGTCGGTAGCGGCCGCGGCGACTGAGTCACTGAGTCCGACCGGGCCGCCCCCTCCGACTCAGTAACCAAGTACGGTCAGTTGAGCGGTTACTGGCACTGCGCGGCGGCGTCACGGCAGGCTGTGAGTCACCGTTTCCGTACCGTCTTCAGGCCCTGGCCACATGCCGGGCCCCGGCGGCCCGCGTGGCGGTGCCCGGCCCCGCCGGGGAGTCTGAGGCTCAGCGGCTCAGCCGTCAACTTGAACTGAGTCCGCCAGTCTGTCATCCACTGGTGCGGCTGAGTCTCCGGGAGTCGACTCCGAGTCGTGACGCGACGGACTGAGGGCCCGGGGATTGGCTCGGAATCGAAATCTTGAGATGTTACTGCGACAGACCCTGAAAATTGGATTTCGCTCTCGCGTTAGGCGACCCTGGTGAATCTGCCAGCCGCATTGAACGGACTTGAGACCGTCGCGTGGTACTTGAGACTGTGTGAAGCCTCGGAACTTAGTTCAACTTCACTGTCATGCCATGATGCGGCCGCCCGGCTGTGCCAACAAGCTGAAGCTGGCATGTGACACTGCTCGAAAGATAATAGTACAACAGCATTGTTTTTATCATATACAGTAATCATCTGATAGCAAAAAATTTGAAAAAGACTCAGAGGGCTTGCAGTTTGAGTAGTGCTACAGTGATTCACTTCAAGTTGGCGCTGCATCACTGTCACTGAGACGGTTCGAAGGATCATACTGTACTCAAGTGACAGATTATCAAACAAGGTAGTAAAAAGCCAAAAAGGAGAAGAAATACATAGGCTTGACCTCCGATAACTTGCAAGCACTGGAAGATTACCATCAATTTTCATACCCTCGCTCCCTGTTGATCCGTTGGAAGTACTTCTGCGCATGCGACCGCACCTGCGAGATCGACCGCGTCCCTACAGCCTTCGATATCATCTCCGCTAGCCCGTGCCCCAGCCCTATCGTCACCCTCCCATGGCTCGCAAGCATCTGCCTCAGAGGCGACAGCTTCTCCAACGCGTCGACAAACCTCCTGTGCTCCTCCCTGCTCCACTGGTAGTTGCTCGACGATGCCTTGGACTTTCGAGACCCGCCATTTGCTGCGGGCGGTGGCGGTGATGAGACGAAAGCGTCTTGAGAAGGAGGGGCAAGGAGGCAGTCGGGGCTTGGGCTTGCAGAGGACACGCTGCTGGCCGAGTCTCCGTCCGTGTTTGATTCCTGATGTTCGCTCTCGGAAGAAATCGGCCCCACACTGCCTGCAGATGTTGGAAGAGCTATGAGTTCTGTTTTCGAGAGCATCCGACCTGTGCTTGGCTCCTTTGCAGTTTCATGAGTACTTTCAGTGTTATTAGCGTGCTTAGACAAAGACAATGTGATCTCGTTGCAACTTTCTGAAGTGAGAAACTGTGCTGGGATGGTGACAAGCCAGTCGCCGTCCTGGGCAGCTGCATTCCAAGGTGATAGGACAGGAAATTTCAGCGGGGCGTCCTCGGGAAAGAGTGAGGCGATGGCGTCTTCAAGTGAGCCTTCGTTCAGTCTCATAGTCTCTGCCACCATGGTTTGCATACGTATAAATTCGTGTGAGGATGCTTTGAGCCAGCCTTTGCTTGGCGGGTTGCCGACCTGATGTTTGTTGTGATTCCGAACGTTTCTTTGCAACCAAAGCGCGTTTATCCCTCCAAACGGTCTCTTTCGGTGGGCAGCCCTTGCTCTTACTCGTGCACTGCGTACCAACTCAACACATTGAACGACACACGGCACCAGCACGGACAAGTCAGAGAGTCGCAGAGGGTCAGAGAGGCAAGTGGAGGCCGATCCACGACAGAGAGCGAACAAACAAGTTTGGAAGAGAGTAGAGGGAGGAGGAATGAGGTGGAGGCAAGTGGAGGATGACGAGGAGCAGGACGAGGAGATGCAAAGGGAACCTGCAAGGGGAGTGGGGGCGTGGGGAAAAGTGGCGTCGGGGGGACGGGGGGAGCCAGCGGAAACAAAAAAATAAAAATGGAATTGGGGAACTGGACCACCCCTAGGACCAGTAACCCTCATATTACCTGAGAATAGTACCCCTAGCGACCATGTCCCATGTGCCCCAAAAAACTCGAATTTTACGGACAGCTGCCATGGCCTGGCCGGAGATAACGTGACATCGTGATTACACCACAGCTTTACAACAATTTTACGGAAAGTTTAAAACATTTTAATTGTCAGCCTCGACATTATATGTCGTTATACTCGGGGAGTAGCGAAATTACAAAGGTTTTAATAGTTTTCACCATTTTTTTTACAATGTACCGGTCATCAGTCGTATCTCCAGACCCGGTCGTGTAAAAGTTGAGGCTTTTTGTTCGGATCGCTCCGTGCTGCCATGTCGTCAGCGACGTGTGGCGCCGTTTGCCGCGCCCTCGCTTGATTCCTTGCTAACTCGAAGCTGAACGACCGACCGACCGACCGACCGACCGACCGACCGACCGGCTAGCTGGCTGGCTGGCTGGCTGGCTGGCTGGCTGGCTGGCTGGATTGATGGATGGATTGATGGATGACAATGGATGAGGAGAGAAAGCAAGTACAATGATGATGCATGAGGGAAGGAGAAGGGAGAAAATGTCAATTCATCAATGAATCCACCAAGGGTCTGTCAAGGGATGAAAAAGGAAGCAAATGGAAAAGAGGAATGTATGATAAGAAAGGACAAGGAAAGCAGGATTGTATGGATGAGAAGGTGGATGAATAAATGCATCGAAGGAGGGAAGGAAAGAGATCGTGATTGGACTGAGGCGGGCGGGAGGAGGGGCAAGAAAGAAACGAGATCAATCCTTGACAGGAATGACCTGTTGATGAAACACGGACGGAATGTAGATGAATGCAGAAGAGAGAGGGAGGCGAGCGGACCCTGTTCATGCGGATTGTTCGGATACTCGTCCTATACACTCAGCAGAAATAAGCTCACGAATCTGAATGCACAGGATCCCTTCTGCCCCTATTCGAGCCTGGCAGTGTTTGAATGCAGATAAGAATAAAGTTTGAGCTCTGTCAAAGTGACTTAGCAGGAAGCCGGGAAGACGAGGATGAACTTGGACCGGCCACTGATGGGCACAGTACCGTTCCAGAGACTCGGAGCTGCGTGGCATGATACGGTGGCAAGCCGCCGGCGGCAGACTCGGGCGGCCGCGCATCTTGCTTGACTTGCGTGCCGTCCGATAGGACCGGGTCACTGAAGCCTCGGGCGGCCCGGGTCATGAACGGCTGAGAAGCGGCGGCTCGACTCAGTGACGCCACTGGCGAGTACGGTCCCGCCGAGTCCGACACTGCCGTGGCGGCCGGGCACTTGACTGGCACTGGGGCTCCGGGAGTCCGGCCACCGGGTCGGTGAGACGGACGGTCACTGGGCCGTCATGTACGACGTTTGAAAGTTTCCCTGCCTGTGAGCCTGGCTGGCCGCCGCCGGCCAGCCGGGCGACCGATCCGATCGCCGCAGGGGCGAACACGGCCCGGTCCGATGACTGAGCACGGATCCGATGATCGGATCCGAGCCTCGGAGTGCGCCGCGCGGGCCGGCCCCGTGTCAGTGTGGCAGTGCGCCGCCCGGGCCCCGGCCGCCACCGCCGGTCACAGGCCCGGGCACCGTCAGCGCCGGGCCGGCGGCCGGCGGCCCGGCGGCCGGCGGCCCGGGTGCGGGACTGCACCGCCGCTCAGGGCACAGTGCCCGGCCAACTTGTGACTTGCCAAGGCTGTGCAGCCGCTCACTAGCCAGCGGCGGCTGCCGGGCCGCCCGGCCGTGACGGTCCGATCGCAGCTTCCGAAGTTCCTTGAAGTTGCCAACGCCGTTGAAGGCTTGAAGCCTTTGGAAGCCTGGCACGGCCGAAAGTTCCCCGGAGCCCGGAATCGGAGTCCGGGCCGCACTGCCCGGCCGGCCGTCACCGGGGCATACCGAGGTGCAGCTCCCGATCAGATAGCTAGATTGATAAATCACTCAACATTCAAATACCAGGGTACTCCCTACCCTACCCCTTTGAGATTACACGACCAAAGTACCGGTACTGATCATTGAGATGGGTGAAGGGGTGGGGTAAGCTGTAAAGGTAGGGTAACATGGGGTACCGTACCCCAGCGTTCCCTGTGGGAGACAGGGGGGTGGCTGCAGTCTTGGAAGCCTCTTTATATGACGGCAATGGCACCATTGGCGGGGCGAGGGTAACGGGAGGAGAGTGAGGAGGAGGGAGAGAGAGGGGCGAGGACAAGAGAAGGGAACATGATCGTGAAGGACACAGGAAGACAGAAGATGGGACTCGGAGACCTTGGATAAGAACTGCTGGGAGGAGGAGGAGGAGTGTTGAGGTTGAGGAAGGGTAAGAGGGTAGAAGGTGCAAGGAGTACACAAGGGCAAGAAACAGGGAGCAGCTGAGAGGAAAGAGAGGAGGAAAACAAGCAACGGCGATCTGCGAAAGGGTTTATCGCCATGAACCCGTAGAACCAAGACAGACGGAGCCAGGTGCTGCAGGGAAACTGAAATGGGAGGCGGATCGTGTTGAAAGGACGTGGTGAGTTTGACTAAGGCGAGGAGGAGGACTGGCAACATTGGATGAGATGCGAGTATGACAGATACCCTGCTCCAGCTTCCGTCTACTGCAAGGAGAGCACAGACTAGTGAAGGCTGCTGGGCGAATCTATTTTTGTGACTGTAACAGTTTCGTTGCACTGATCGGGGAGGCCTCAAGGTAGGGAAGGAGATCGGAAGTTTGGTTCGCCACGGGACTTGAGGAGAGAGGTTAGTCTGATACCTGCTGGACATACTCGACGTGGAGGATGAGAACTGGACTGAAGCTGCTCACTCACGTTGTGTTGAGCACCCTGGTCCTCTCTTCTGCGCTGCAGACAAGCACGCACAGAAGGCAAGAGGAGCCGGAGGCGAGGAGGAGGCCGACTTGCTTCTTCCTACCTCTCGCTTCTGCTGCATCCTTCCTGGCGTCGCCGGGCACGGCCTCATGCAGGGTGCAGCGAGTCGGTAGTGAGCAAGTGGCACGGGTCTGCATGATCGCAGTTCCTCCTGTGCGGCCAGAGGAAGCTTCTCAAGGTGCGGGCGTCAAGGAGCGTATACTGGGGAGGGTGATGGTCCGAGGATCGGAGGGCAAGAGGGGCTGGGAAGGGAAGAGGACCGAGAGGGCGAAGTCAGTGGCGGAGCTGAAGGAGGTTCCCAACGTTGTTGGCAGGATGGAGGGGGACAAAAGGGTGAAGAGGAGGGAGGGGAGGCAGAGGAGGCAGATCGATGTGAAGGTGCTGAAAGACCACGGGGTGCACGAGGGAAAGAGGTTGCAGGTTGTACAGGAGGGGAGCCGCTCGTTCGTCAGGCACGGGGAGGTCATGGTGGAGATCCCAGCGAGCTGGAGCTCCAGAGCAGACGCCTGCTCGCCCGACTACCTCCACCACCTTCTCAAGCGCAGAATCTCTTCCTGCTCTATCTTGCGAGTGTCGGGACTCCCCAGCAGTGCGACTGAGGAGACGGTGCAGGAAATCTTCAGGGGGTTTGTGCTGGCAGGAGGGGAAGAAGGGAACGTCGTGATGGAGGAGGGAGGCAAGACTGCCTACGTGAGGATGCTGGACGGAGAGGAAGCGACAAGAGCATTGAAGCTCAACGGGACGGCAACGGCAGGCGCAACGCTGCTTGTGAGCAAGAGGCTGTGGGGGTTGTCGTGGGAGAAGATGATGAAGAGGACGAGGGCGGGTGGCATGACGGCGGCAGAGAGGCTGAGGGAGCTGATGGAGAAGGTAGCTGCTGCACCTCTCTCCTCCAACGTACAGCAGCTGCTGGATAGGTTCGAGCAGGCTCCGATGGACGTGGTGGAGGGGAGGATGGAAGGAGAAGGCGAGCGGGAAGGGGATGGCACGGGGTTGGACGCTCTGCTGCAGGGCGAGGGAGTGCGGGAGAGAACGGTTTGCAAGCTGATCTCAGAGTTCGGAAGGAGGGGGGAGCTCGAGCGAGCCTTCGCCGTCTTCCTGTGGACGATGAGGGGGAGCAGCCGGCCGAACGTCTTCCACTTCAACGCCATGCTGAGCGCGTGCGGGCGGTGGAAGCGGCTGCCCCTTGCGCTCTCCCTCCTCCGCTGCATGCGGGAGATGCAGTTGAAGCCTGACGTGTTCACCTTCTCCTCCCTCGTCCAGACTTGTGCGAAGGAGAGGGAGGGGAGGATGGCGATATCGCTCTTCAGAGAGATGGAGCAGGAGGGGATAGCGCCAAACACTGTTGTCTACAACAACGTGCTCGTGGCCTGCGCAAGAGCCGAGCTGTTCGGGCAGGCGATCTACTTCTTTTGGAGGATGAAGGAGGAAGGAATCCCCCCAGACCTCGTCTCCTACTCAGCCATCATCTCTTCCCTGGCGTCCAGGAAAGATCTGAGCTCAGCTCTGCTTGTACTCAAGGAGATCAGAGGACAAGGCCTCAGGCCGGACAAGCTCATCTACACCAACTTGCTGCATGCGGCGCAGACGAGCCGGAGGCCTCACAAGGCGATGGAGATCTACGAGCTCATGCTCGACGACGGGCTAGAGCCTGACGCGGTTGTCTTCAGTTGCCTCATCGGGGCGTGGGGGCGTGTGGGGGACTGGAGGAGAGCGGAGGAAACGTGGAGGCTCTGCAAGAGGACGTTGAGAAAGGAGGAAATTCCGCTGGGCGTCTTCAATGAGCTCATGCGCTCAGCCGCCATGGCAGGGAGGGCAGATCTAGCTAGGCGCGTGCTAGCAGAGGTCGGGGAGCACGGGCTCGAGCCCTCCCCCTTCATGCTGCGACTGCTCGATAGCTCCGGGCTCGTGCCGGAGGAGACGCGGCGGCGGGAGGGAGACGAGAGGGGGGAGGATTCTTGTACATGTGTGGACCAACAAGAGAGATTTCCTGTGTAATACAAGTAGAACGACTTTTAACAAGACTTGCTGTTATCCTCTCCTCCATCTCGCTCTATCACAATGCGCTTCTTTCTATATATCAGCAGAGGAGGCGCCTCAGACGTCGTCTGGTCTGACCATGATCTGTACAACCGACTCTGATGGAATCTTGGCTTTCTGTAAAGTGCTGCGGCAGCCTGGTTAGCAACCGTCCTCCACACTTCCACCCTCTCCTCACTGGGCATCTGTCAACAGTTGTCCTCCAAAGAAGCAGCGCTGGCGAGCAGGAGCAAGGTTTTCTTTCGCCTTTCAAACATTATGTTATCACCCCTCCCCTCCTCCCTTTCTCCTCCCCCACCTCTACAAAGGTCTTGAGCTCTCCGATGGTCACGTTGCTCAACCCTGCAGCAGCGTCACGACTCCGGCACTCTCTCCTCCCGCTGCTCGTCACTTCCATCCGGCATGCCACTCACCACTCCACTCGAGCTCAGCTCCTGTGCTCAACCGCAGGCGGATCGACATCTCAGCGAGTTCTTGACTCTCCTCGCTCGTCTTCTCGGCCGTCTCATTCACCGCCGGCAAACTCTCGCTCGACTGGCGCCACCATCATATCAGCCGCCCACCGTCGCCCCATCCTGAAGAAATGTCTCACCTCATCCTTCACCATGTTCGTTGGCTCCGACAGGCAGTAAGGAGGTATGTCGTACTTGTTACCAAGTTCGTCGTAAACTACACTGAGGTTGCCGTGCGGCAAACTGCCCTCTATGAGTCAGCACCAGCCAACGATGTGAAAAACTCCTCACGTGACGTTCACAGCCGCCATGATCGCTTGCGCTGTCTCTGTATCTTCACACTCTGCTGCCGCCCGCAGCGCCTGTCATACAATTTCAATCCTTCAACCCTCTTTCCTGCTCGTGCTCGTGCTCGTGCTCGTGCTTCTCCTCTCCATCCCCCTTCCAGCACCACCCATCCCAACCTTCCACTTCTTTTCTTCATCGAAACAATCACCACCTCCTCCACCACCTGCCAGATCTCCGGCTTGCCGTTGAAAGCAGGAGCCGTATCCCAGAATTCATCTCTCTTGGACAAGAGCTGTCCTCTCGTCATGGGGTGATCTGCATTCCACACAGGAGGTTTCCTGCACAGGAGCTTGTTCCCTGGTCCTGGTCCTGATCTGCCATCAACGCCTGCCACAAGCACAGGGGGGTCACCTTCCCCAGTTGGGCGATTGGTCCTATGCGGCCGCCTCCCCCCATCAGACGAGTTATTGTTGTCAGCTTGAACCACCTCGTGCTCTTCGCTTGTCTGGCTTGTCGGTTTGAAGCAGCACGCGCCCATGATGAGATGTAAACAACAAGAGCGCTCTCGATTCAACAAGTCATAGCATCAAAATATCTACCAGCGCGACTATCCCGTTCAACGATCCTGAGCACGCACGTTGAGTCAGACCGAATCAGATCTCTTAGGTACCACTTCGAGGTTCACGATCACATGCCGCGTTAGAGTCTCTCGTCAAACAAAGTTCGATCAGATTTCCATACCATCCTCAAGGAATCGAATCGCTACATGTTACACGAGGACATGACAGTGCTACCCATCGCCGGACTCCCTCAATCATCACTACTGCTTCATTCCTCTTGAGACATATCTTCCAGTAGAAGTCGCAGTGAGCTGCTCTGCATTTCCACTGATGTTTGTTTTGCATTCCTCCTCTTCCTCAACCACTATCATCTCCTACACCACCATACACTCATCTCTGTCATTTTCTTCTTATCCTCAAGATCGATTCAATTCAACAATCCCTGTCTTCTCATAGTCAAGTCTCTTCCCTCGTCGATGTCCCATCGCAGTGCTCGCATGACGGTCCTGAACGCGCTGCAGCAGGCTGTTGCTGCACACGACAGGCAGGAGCTAAGGGCGCTATCCTTCCCAGGAATCGGCAGCACTCGTTTCCCCCATTCATCATTGTCTGCATGTTTCCTCCTCCTGCTCCTCCTCCTGCTCCTCCTGCTCCTCCTCCCTCCCTCTTCAATGGCAGGTATGCGACGCTAGCCATGCGACTGACCGAAGTGGTCAGGACATAGAGATGGCGTATTTCTAAAAGAGCAGTTTTTGAACCTGATTAGATGTACAAATTAAATTATTATATAATTAATTTTGAATCAAATTTGGTAGCGAGGTAACATAAAATGTTTTAGAAATCGTTTATCCACGCCAACTAGACTTGGAATGTTTCCAGAGCGACAAACTGGTTCAGACCCACCCTTCGCCCCCTCTCTGGGCTTTGAAGTGATCATAGCCAATATATCATAGTGCTCCAATCGAAAAACTTCCAATGCATGCACGGGGGTAAATGGAGGATGCAGAGGAGCGGTTGGTATTAGAGGCCCTTCAAGCACTACCAAACCATTTCATGTACCATTAAAATAATTATATGTTACATATGTGGTACAAGGGATCCACAAATGCAGTACCAACTCTGATGTGCTACAGGAAAAATTGTACCAGAATATTTTAGACTTTTAAAATTGTTGATTCTGGTACATTTTTTTCAATATTTTTGTACTGTAACGTTTACTCAATCAAAAACCTTTGGTTTGGTTCTGTTTCTTTTTCTTTTTACATGGACTTGTAAAACCCGGGCCGGAATGACCGCCCGGGACCAGGCTGACGAAGGGGCCCCGGGGGCGATCGGCCTGTACTACTGAGTGACTAGTCGCCTCACAAGGCGGCCATCCGCCCGGCCTGGCAGGCTCGCCTGAGCCTGTGGCACAGGCCCGTGCCCGGGGGCCTCCTCAGTTAATCTGACTCCGGGAGTTAAGTTACTGGAAAGGTTCAGTGGAGTGTGACCATGATGACAGTCAGTTGTTGTGCGGACTCAGGTCCGACGGCCCAGCCCGTCAACGGTCAAGATGACCGGGTGGCCACAGACAGTTGTAACATCACTTGAAAGGACTGGAAGGAGTCAAGGGCCGATTCGCAGCCTTGTGAGTTTCAGGCTGTACTGACTCGTGACAAAGAACAGATGCGGACAATGAGGAAACACACTAGAAGTCTCCAGCGCCCCAATCGTCATCGTCTCCAAGTTCAAGTTCCTGTTGACGCAACGTCAAATAAATCCTCGGACCCGATCAAAAGTACCTTTGCCAGATCCTCCAATGACTGCTCGGCAGCATCCTTGGGCTGAGCTGCTGCTGTCCAAAGGTTATGTACCATCAAGAGCAAGGAGAACGGCATGGTACAAAGACAGGATTACTGCATACACCTACCGGCTGCCGCTGCTGCCGCTGCTGCTGCTGCTGCCTCCTTGGCTTCTTTGTCGGCGCGAGCCTGCTTCCAGGCTTAAAACACCTAGGGCACGAGAAAGCAAGCTTCACCTTCGCTTCCGCAGCTTCCTGTTCTGCTTTCGCTTTCGCTTCTGCTGCCTCCTGCGGTAGCATAAAATCATAATCAAGATCGTCGTCCTCCATCAACATTTCACCTTTGCCTTTGCTTCAGCTTCTGCCTTTGCCTTTGCTTCAGCTTCTGCCTTTGCCTTTGCTTCAGCTTCTGCCTTTGCCTTTGCTTCAGCTTCTGCCTTTGCCTTTGCTTCAGCTTCTGCCTTTGCCTTTGCTTCAGCTTCTGCCTTTGCCTTTGCTTCAGCTTCTGCCTTTGCCTTGGCTGCAGCATCTGCCTTAGCTGCCTCATCCTTTGCCTTTGCCTCTGCCTCCGCTTTGGCCGCTGCAGCCTTTGCCTCTGCCTCTGCCTTGGCGGCATCAGCTTTCGCCTTTGCTGCCGCCTGCGATTCGGTCAGATCATCACAAGAGAGAATCTGCGCAGACTACTTCCGCCTCCTTCTTCGCCGCCGCCTCCTGCCAAACATTCAACGGTCATACATGGCTGAAAAAGTAAACTCACAGCATCAGCATCACGCTCGGCCGCCTTGTCCTGCAACACACGAACAAGAATCGTAATCAGTTCTTGACTCGATGCGCTCAAACAAGATCAACATCAAGGGTAAGCCAAGGGGTTGGGGGGGGGGGGTAGCAGCTCAGGCTCCTCACCTCGCTCTTAGCTGATGACTCGACAGTATCCTGGTTGCTCGCCTTGGATGGCTGGGGGAAGGCCTCGGGGGGCAGCTGGTCGACGCTCTGGCCCGATTCACGGATGGCATCGATGACGTTTTCTCCGAGGCGGGTAGAATACTGCAGGTACTGCGAGGCCGGCTTGCGGGTCTTGACCTCTTGGTTGAAGTTATGCTCGGCAATCAGCCCGAGGTCGAAGTCCGGGAAGAGGTTCGGGTAGCTGACAGGGTCGGAGAGCGACTCGGCTGCTTTCTCATTAATCCCCTTAAGGTCCTCCTTCCACAGGTCCACCATCTTGGTAACCTGACTGGGGAGGTAGGTGCGGGCAAAGAAGGCAGCTTCCGGTATCCTCCCCGTTGCGCACAACAGATTCAAGCACTCCATCTTGTCCCCAAGTAGAAAGTTGCAGAGGAATGCAATGTTGGTCCTGCCAGCATCCGCGGAGTCCTTCGCCAGCTGGCGCATCCCATCGTAGTCTCCTTGACATGAGTACAGCAGCAGTTGAGCTGAGTGGTCCTTTGCACGGCTGAGACACTCGATCGCCAGTTCAAAGTTTCCGGCGGCCAGGACGAGGTCACCAAGCTGTTTCCATTTCGTGTCGGATTCAGATTCCTTGACGATGGCATAGCACTCTTCGAGTTTGCCCAACCCAACAGCAAGTTCGAATCTGCAGCGCAAAGTCGGTCAACAAACAGGAGCAGCACCGCAACTAGTTTCACACCTGTAATCTGGATCGGTGGCAATCTGGAGCGCTTCTTCCTTCAATCCCTGTGCCTCCAAGAACCTTGCGACCTTGTTTCTGTGATCGCTGGGGATGGAAGGAAGGATGGATGCCGCTGTCTCGAAGTCCCTTCGGACGATACATGTCTTATACTCGAGAACTGAAAGCAAGAGCTCAAACGAGACGATATTAAATTCTTTGTCAATCAGGTACAGACGATTTTCCTTGGCCATGTACCTGGTAGGAAACGTCAGAAATGCCATACACACTACTGAAGGGTGTCATGTATACCCGAGCAGGTACATCCTTCGATCCAGATGGTGCAAAGTTTGAACTTCACCGCCCACACAATAATTCAGCCGATCGTTTCCATTGGTGTAGACAAAGCAGTCTCCAAGCCATTTTCCAGTGGATATCCTCTCCTGGACTTCATAAACAGGCTATACAAACAACTTCAGCATCCATCGAAAACTCAAGACAGCGTAAGCACCTCAAACGCTCCTTCACAACCATCCTCGTCATCTCCACCCTGTACCCAAAACAGCTGTCAAAACTCCAGCTAGACACCAAGGAACCTATACCTGTTCGAGGTACTGCACTACAGCATCCTTGTCATGCTTCAAGACGAACATAGAGGTATCGGAGGCGATGGCACAGAGCTGTGAAGACTCGCTCCAGAAGACATTCCTCACGTTGACATCGATCCTTCTGACAGGTGACCCACTCTCCCAGTCATAGAAGAAGATGAAATCCTGTCCTGACCGACACCTGAACCCTTATCAATCACAAAGAGACCAGAGAGATGCGGGTACCCGAGCATAGCTCCTCCGTAGATTGCGTCCACGGTGTACGAGATGGACAAAGTCTGACGCTCCTTGAAATCCCTGTAAAGTTTAACTTTTGAAGGGCCTTCACGAGTTGCATAGTCGCCATTGTGAGCCCAGACAACGTCCATGGCGTTTCCAAAACTCTTGTTACGCCAGGCCAGCGCAGTGTAGATGATATACTCTCCATCTCCGCACACAACAGCAACACGACCTTTCGGGTCATGTTTCAACTTCTGTGGATAGATCTCACAGTTTCCAAGCTCCTTCACAACTAGAGGGAGTCTCTCGCCATCTTGAATTTCACCCTGAGCGGATTTCACATTGACCATCTGGATTTCATTGTGCTTCGCCCAAATAATCTTTCCTCCCTGGTCCATGCTGGCCACTGGCTGCTCCTTTCCGAGCTTGATCATCACCGATCCATCATCGTATCCCAGCGCAACTCTGTTAGACCCCTTCTTGCATGCAATAGACCACACTCGCTCCATGCCGTAGTTGAGAGTGTTCTCCAAGTTGAAGGTGTTGGAGTGGAAGATACGCACAGCGCCGTCTTCTGATCCCGTGATGATCAGAGGAAGGTCAGGGTGGAATGCCACACATGACACGTTGTGCGAGTGATCTGACAAGGTCTGTACGCAAGTTCTTGCCTGGTAATCCCACACCTTCACCGTCTTGTCGTCGGCGCCGCTGATAAGGTAGGGTTTGTCACCGCCGGAGAAATAGTCGATGCAGTTCACTCCCTTCTCATGGCCCTCAAGGGTGAAGTGAGGGTTGGGAGAGTTCAGCCCCCAGACCTTGATTGTTCTGTCGAGCGATGCGGACGCGAAGGTGTTGGGGTCTTTGGGGTTGAACACAACCTGCATGACATAGTGCGAGTGGCCCTCGTACATCTGCTTGCACTCCCAGTTCTTCTCCCAGTCCCAGATCTTGATCGTCATGTCATCTGAGCAAGTAACCACGTACGGGAGCTGCGGGTGGACAGCAACGCAGCGGAGGTAGTCAGAGTGCGCTTCGAAAGTCTTGATCTTCTCCATGGTGTTGTAGTTAAACACGCGCACGTTGAGGTCGTCGGAGCCGCAAACGATCCACTGCTTCCTGGCGATGAACTTGGACGATCTTACTGGCAGCTCCGTCACTTCGAACGTCTTGAGAAGAGTCTGCGTCTGGAAGTTCCACAAGTGAACGTGCCCATTGTACAAGCTGCAAGCTGCAAGTCAGGGAGCGGGCAGATCAACAACCGCAAGGATCGCTTGCCTGCACAGCATCCATGGCTCATCAGGATGCACGTCGACTGACTTCACTCGGTCAGAGCGAGAGGTCAGCTTCCTTCGGATGTTAAGGCGGAGGGGCATGCTTGCAAGACCACCACTGCAGGTCCTGGTAAGTGGGGGAGAGGAACCGCAGGAGGAGGAGACCTTGGGAGTTTAAGAGGTAAGCTTGCAAATCAAATCCACCCAACCTGGAGCACAAGATGAGAGGATTGAACTAGACCTCAGAGGCTATTAAGGCCATAGCAAACTTTAGCAAGGATTCACTTTAGCAAGGCAAACACTTCTCATATAAGAGGTAGAAGTCATTCATGAACCCCAGAGACGTGCCTGGCTGCAGCTCCTACCTTCGAGTCCCTTTCTACCAACAACGAAACTTACTTCAAGATTCGCTCCCCTATCATTCCCTGCCTGTTTCCTTCATTGACCTTCCGCATGAGCTTTCGCCCAGCCTTTGGGATCGGGTCGACCTGACCTGCTCTTCATCTGCCATGAAACGCCTCTAGCATTCTCTTCCTGGATCGGTCAAGCCATATCCTTGCTTCCTCCTCCTCCCTCCTCCCCCACTTCTACCTCCTCCCTCCTCCACAAGCCGATCCCCCCTCTCTTCCTCCTCCCATCTACAGTCGCCTTCCTGACATATTTCCGTCAAAGATTCCGGGAGTTCAAATCATCTATCAATCTCTATGAAAATTGATGAAATACATATGAGACAAATTGAATTAATAGACTTATTTTCAAAATATCTAAACGTTCTGCCCCCACCGGAATTATTATCTCAGATGCCAACTCACCCGCCGCCGCGCTTAAAAAAAAGCGTTACCAGCGTTACGAAAGCACAAACCAGACCGTTATTTTGACGGTTAAAGACCAATAGAGAGAAGGGCGCCATGGCGGGAAAGTTCGTGAGAGAGAAGGCAGGGGAGGATGGTGGGCTGACCAGGGAGGGGAGGAGGAAGAGAGAGGGAGAGAGAGAGGAGGAGGGTGATCAGGGGGAGGAGACGGAGTGTACACTTGCGACTCTCTGAACGATGCGTACATGCTGCCCTTACAGCCATCGCCCTCCAGTACCGATACATCAAGAGCGAGTAATGCGTCTGATCAGCATGCACACGGACTTCTCCATGTTGTCACGAGGAAGATGCTGCCATATCAACCCACACAAGTGCTGATATCATGCCACAATGCTGACAAGGCTCTGCATGACTTGACTTCTATCACTCACCATATCACCTGAGTCGATGCGACCAGTAACTCATTCATGCTCAAACCAACATTTCCCCTCACATATACATTAGAATATTCGCTGTGTCAAAGGCCAGAAAGAGTTGCCGTCAGTCGAAAGCATCAATTCAGTTCTTATGGATCATGCCATAGGATTTCACCAGAGAAAGATTCCATTGCCGGATGACAATGGTGCCGTCTTGACGTAATTGGACAGGTTAACTTGTTTTTCTCCCATGGCCGACGACGCTTGGGTTTCGTACCTGCAATCACCCAAGTCTCCTTCCATGGTTCGATTGCCATCCTATTTTTCCTCCCTTCATACCCTTCCCTTCCCCCTCCCCCTTCCCGATCTTCCTTCTTGTATGTATTTTCTTCTCTCCCTCCCTCGCCTCACCTCTTCCTCTTCCGGTCTAATCTATTCAGCTTGACTTTTTCTTATCCTCCTCTCCCTCCTTCTTCCTCCATCCCGTTCATTTGAAGATTCCGGTACTGAAGCAGTTCGAACTAGGACGCGTCCATCGAGGACACCAGCATAACTCTTCTTCACGAGTCGCGGTCGCAGCGAGCTCCCCATGACGACCGCAGCCTTCTTCTGGCGAATTCGCCCTCCTCAGGCTTCAGCTCCCACTGCCCGTATGTGAGTAGCAGCAACCTTCAGTCGTCGTGCCAGGTCTGTTTGCTCGCTCAGACTCCCCGACTGGCTCTCAAGTCTTGTCCAGGTCATCAACGATGCTCTTAGAACTTACGGTCTTCCTGGCCCCATCGAGCTTCCTGCTGTGAGAGCCATGCGTGCCCTACTCTGCAGACCCTTCGCGAGCCTTACGATCCCTTCTGCGATCTCGATAACCTGCTCTTGCTCGGAACGCACTTCACCATAGCTGCTCCTGCTCCAGCAACGCCAAGTCTTCCATCTTCAAGTCTCTGACCACCTGCCCCTGCAGAACTCTTCGTCGAAATGCACTGTGATGGCAAACGTGCTGTACGCTCTGTTACAACACCGAAGCCAAGTCGATGAGCAGCTGAAGGAGCAGAGTGAGGATATTAAGAAGGTTCTTGCTCCTGATGCCGATGTTGGGCTGACCCGTGCATGCTCTCCAGCTCCAGTTCGACCTGAATGTCGCGCGAAACAACCAGCTGAAACTGAAAGAACAAGTTGCCTCAACGTTCCTGCGTCATGTTTGCTCACCCTCTCTGCAACAGCTGAAGTCCAAGGAGGAGGATTGCAAGAGGTTGTACCAGCAGCTCTCAGAAGCGAGTGAGTGTGTCGTGGCCCCTGAACTCTGCCATGTCACTGACAAGCATGCCGCAGCCCTGCAACACAAGAAGGAGAAGAGCAAGATCTTGCAGGAGAAGGAGAAATCAGCTGCAGGTTCGTCATAGATCGTGTGGAAGTGACGAGGGTGCTGTGGATTGGGGGAGGTCGTATTGAGGACATTGGGCAGAGAAAGAAGCAGTGCAGAAAGAAACTGGTGCAACTTAGTCCCAAAGCACAGGAGGAGGATACAGTGGTGACCGAGTAGTAGAGGAAGTCGGGGGAAGAAGTTTGATAGGAGGAGCAGTGGAGCAGGAAAAGGGAAGGAAGAGAGGGGCAGGAGGCTGAGAAGAAGAGGAAGAGAGAAGGAGAGGAGGGGGAGCTCTGACTTATACGATCCATCAGAGAAGACCGCGATGCAGCACAGAGACTCTCAGCTCCAGCACGCCATGAGGAAGTTGGAGCAGCAGCGCGAGAAACTGCAGGAGCGTGTCAAGCAGCTCATCGACCAGAGAGACCGCCAGCTTAAGGTTTTCCCAGCTGCACCTCAGCTCGACTCTCGTCAAAACATCTCTTCAGGCAGGGATTGAGATGTCTACGAAGCTGACTACCAAAGACGAGCTTAACAAGAGGTGCTGTGCTGCCCTCACCAGTTTTCTCTCCTCCCCCTCCCCTTCCTCCCCTCCCTTCACTTCATCTCAAAAGCTGCTCTCCTGTTCAATTTGTTATTGTATTGTTGCTACATGCCCCCTCTCCGAGACAAGATGTCGTCCTCGTCCTTGTCCGCGTCCTCGTCCTCGTCCTCGTCCTCGTCCTCGTCCTCGTTGTCTTGCTCTCCTTTTCTGAGCCTTCACAGACCTGCCTGGGGAAGCAACGCGTGCGGAAGTGAAGAATTCTTCAGCAAGGTGAGGGGGAGGAGAGACATGGAAAGGAGAGAAAGCGCAAGGAAATGGGGGGAAGAGGGAGCAGGGAGCAGGGAGCAGGGAGCAGGGAGCAGGGAGCAGGGAGCAGGGAGCAGGGAGCAGGGAGCAGGGGGAGCGATGGTAAGGCTAAAAGCTATTTCAGGTCATCCGCTCCTATGAGCAGAGAGAGGCAGAAATGCTGGAAGAGAACAAGAGCCTTCGGCAGGCCATGGCTGGTGGGAAAGTCCCCTATCCTCTTTCCCTTTGCTTCATCTGCATGCTCCTGTACCCTTCTCTGCTCAACTTCTCGCCAGTCCTCTCCAAGGAGCTCATGGAGACTCTCAACCATACGGGGACTCTCAGGAACAGCGGCAAGTCAAGGACGGGGGATGAAGGCGATGAAGTTGAGCCGAAGTTCGAGATGCCCTTCCAGGTATATGGGTCCCATCACTTTCTTACACGCCTCCTACACGCCTGTTCTCGGTGACGCGTTTCTTATTTCTTCTTCCTTTCTTTGTAGAATTGTTTGCGTGCTTCTGCTGTGGCTGCTGCATTCCAACCACCTCACTTTCCTCTTTGTTTCTTATATCCTGGCACCTTTATCGTCTTGGTGCCCTTTCTTTCTCTGACAGCAAGTCAGGCTGTCTCAGCAGAAATTCAATCTTCTCTCCGTGATAGGATGGCAAGTCTTCGATTGAGACTCAAGGTCCTTCCATGCTCTTCTCCATCTCCGTGCCTCTCCTTCCCTTCCTGCCCCCCTTCCTCTCTGCCTCTCCGCCTTCCCCCGTTTCCTTCTCCTCCTTTCCTTCATATCTTAATAACTCCTCCCTCCCCTCCCACTTCTTGATAGTTTCGCAGGAGCTGGAAGATAAGGAGAACAACATTTCTCTTTCCAACACCTCGCATGCCCATGTTGCGGAGCTTGAGGTTCAATCGTCTTTGCATTTTTCAATTTTCAACTCTTGCCTGCCTGCCTGCCTGACTGCCTGCCTGCCCCATTTATGTTCCCTCCTTCATTCTCTCCGACATTTCTATTCTTGTTTCAGTCCCCTCCCTACCTTCTCAGTCCTCTCAATTCCCAGCCTGGCTCTCCCTGACACTCTCATGCAGAATGAGCTGTGCCAGGCGAGGAATGCTCTCGTCGAGCAGGAGGGAATGGTGAAGGTAACCGAACCTGCCCTCTCTTTCACTATAACCCCCCCCCTCCCACCCCTTGTTCACTTCCTTTGCCTCCTCCAACCCCACTTCTCCTCTTTTCTCCCCTCCCCTCTCTTCTCCTCTCCATGGTTTCCACTCCTCCTCATTCACTCTCAGGCCTATCTGCTCCACTCTGACCAGAAACTGTGCGGATCCCCTGCGAGGTCAGTTGGGCGCCAGTCATTCTCAGCGTTGACTCTTCCTCGCAGATGCGGGGGTGGAGCTGAGAAGGCTTCTCCTGTTCCTGCAGCTACTCCCAGCCGAACTCCCGACATGCTGCGACGGCAGGAGCAGCAGCAGTCAAGGTGAGCTTTTAGCTTTTCGATTCCTGATCATCTCCGAAAATCTCTTGATCCTCCCATGGCAGATCAAGTTACTTTCCTTGCACTAGTCAAATCTAGCTTCATCCCCGTCGAGCATTGCTTTGCTACCCCCCCCCTTATCCCTCCTTCTATTCCCGCTTCCTCACTCCTCCTGCTTGAATCTTTCCCTTTCACGTCGCTTGTTGATTGCTGCCTCCTCGCCGCTCCCCTCCCATTCCTCCCCTACCCCAACCCTCCTCCCCGCCCCACCTCCTCTTTCAGCAGCTTCCCAATACTGTTCATCGCCCTTTCCCCCTCACCATCTCACGCTCATCCACATGAAAGAATACATGAAACAATAAAGACTTGCCCTTGGCATCTACTCCGCAGCCCGCATCGAGCTCATGTGCCTCACTAGCAGCATCCCCTTCGCTCTCGACAAGTCTCTATTCACTAGCTCCAGCACCGACGGCTTCCCCTGCCTGCCCACCCCGCTGCCATTCTGCATCGAAATGTCCCCGCGCTTTCGCGTCCTGTATGAGGGAGGAAAGAAGTTCCTGCAGGAGCAAACATACGTCATAATCCGTCTCCTCCCACATTCCTTTCTCACCTCAGATGCTCCACCCGTTTGTTCCCAATCAGACCAGCTTCCCGCACCTTGATAACGCTGTCACTCACCGCAACGACAGCAAGGGTAAGGCAAAACTTACCAGCCCGCGATGAAGCTGACCGAGGTTACGAAAGTTTGCGAAGTTGCCGTCAATCATCCCCTCTCGATCCCTCACGTTGAAGTCATCGAGATTCGACCGCATGTTCCATGCCATCTCCCCCCAGTCCTTCACTGCCCCCTGTGCTGCCCCATGATTTCCTCCTGCCTGCCCCTTCCCTTCCCCGCTCGACGACGAGCCGTCGCTAGTCTTGCGAAGACCAGGGGCACGTGCGAGGACGCACGCGTTGCCGAGGACGGGGAAGTGCTTCTTGGAGGCGTTCGCCTGCGCTCCTTGACCTTGTTCGAACGACAAGTTCTTCACAGCACCAGCGTCAGCACCCGACAAGCGCAGAGGAGCGCGCAGACCTTGGTGAAGCAGACGGGAGGAGCGCGAGAGGACTGGGAGGACTCGTGAGCGGCTCCACTGTCACCAGCGTCACGCAGGCCGGCACAACGAGCAGGTTCAGGTTACCGTTCCGAGCTACGAGCCTTGCTGGCACTTCCCTCATCGAACATGCTGGGCGATTCAGGGCTGATGCCAACGGAGTTTAGCATCTCCAAGTTGAGCGACTCTTCCAGCTCAATCTGTAGAAACCGGTGAGAGGAGGACGAGGCTGAGACTTTGACGAGCGGGAAGGGTCAGGTGCCAACGAACAGAGAGGTAGAGAGAGGGCAGGAAAAGTAAGGAGAAAGGGAGATCAAGTCAAGTACGAGAGGGAAAGGACAGGAAGGGAAGGTAGTGCACCAGTGGCCTTGAGCGTCGAGGGTTGTCGGACAGAGGACGCTGCATTCGAGCGCTGTCCCTCGACTCGTTCTTCTTCCTCAAGGCAGCTGCGACAGCAGCAAGAAGCCCCCCCTGCGTGCCGCGGGTCAGACTCAGCGGAGGAGTCCACAAATGCTGATCTTGCCTGCCCTGCTCGCAGGACGTCCTTCTGCAGCAAGGGATCCAGGAAAGCTTCCCGTTGGGCCTGACAAGAAGCTTGAACTCAGTACTTTCCCTTAAGATTCCTCTCGCACAATCATACACACCTTCGCTTTTCGGCTCAGAACAAGCTGCGCCCTCGCCCCTTTCCCTGCCCCGTCTGCAGCACGCGTCCCTGCCCTCGAGCTGAGAGCCGGAGGATCCTTCCTGTTACTGTTCGACTTCGCCTTCCCTGCGAGACCCTCTTGGCTGTTGGGTTTCTTCGAGGCATCCCCTTCCTTCCCGGCGTCTACCGCCCCTTTCTCCGATCCATAGAAACTGTTCTTGTACGCGAGCTCCGCCGCAGACAGGCAGTTGTTGAAGAGTCTGCTCAGCATCTGGTCGTCACATGGGTGGATACACTCGAAGGAGTTCTTGTAGTGCATCTCTTGCGCTATCCTCAGGTTCACCAGGTTCTCCCTCTGCTTCTTGTAGTTCTCGTCATTCTGATACTTCTGACCAGGAGCTATCAGCGACGACAGCTCCTTCAACAACCTGATCTCTTGCACTGTCGGAGCGACCATCATGAAGGTGTCTCGGATCACCGTCGACTTGACGTCTCGATCCAGCGGCGAGTCTGTCTCGAACGAGGGAAGCTCGTTCACCTCGATCAGCCATGGCTTCGTGCTGGAGTCAAGCATGACATCGAACCCAAGGACTGTGAAACAGGAGAAGCCAACCGAGTCCCGACTTTCTGGCACAGAGATGCGATAAGAGTGCTGGTTCGCTGGCAAGGCTGCCAAGATGGTCTTAACGACCATGCTACAAATGTTCGACCAGACTTCTTGGCTGCTGTATCCATTCTCATCCAGCCACTTGCGAATGCTCCCCAAACTTCGCTTGCTGCTCGCATCACCGTCTCCCTGGCGGCCTTCCTCATCAAGTCCGTTCGTAGGAGCCTCGAACTCATCGTTGTGCTTGTTGATGGCATAGTTTGTCAAGTGCATGAACTGCGCGTTCGCGTTCTTGGAGGACACGCTCTCGTACTCTTGCGTACAAAACCTTGCAAGCCCATCTCTGCACACATATACTCGCAGCGGGGTGACCGAGGTAACTAGGACGTAGATCCGCAGGTCGAACTTGAGACCGTCTATGAGCAAGGGGTTGTTCAAGTACTTCTGTACGACAAACTTGCCCTCTTTCGGGATCTCGTTAGCTCTTCTGGTGATCAGGATGCCATTCCCCTGGCTGCCCGTGTTGGGCTTGACGATGAAGGTTCGGTTCTTCTTTTCAGCTATCAGCCTCAGCACAGTGTGATACTCCTCGGGAAGAGTCCATGTCTCCGGATAGAAATCATACTCTGCCGGCAGAACCTTCTTCATGCGGTTCAAGTTCACAGCCAGCCTGCACTTGAACGCGATCTCGCACAGGGAAGGGAAGTGGTTGATCCTTTGCGATCTTCCCATCTTCATGTCCTTGATGGTAGATCCCAGCAGGTATCTGTCCGTCCACTTGATCGTCCACTTCTCCTCGTTGCTAGTAACCCTCCAACCCAGGTCCTGGCAGACATCGCGGATCACGGAGTAATGGCAGCCAGTTAGGTTCACGACCGCCCTTGCTTTTTTCAGCCTCTTTCGAACGGCCTTCTCCAAGACGTGTGCAGACTTCTGTGTCTCCTGCTCTACGGTGCTCGTTGCCGATATGCTAGCGTCAGAGTCGCTGATTCTATCCATCGACATCGGCAACACTTCGTCGAGCTCGTTGTCAGAAATGTTCTCGTCTGCGCATGCCGACATGTCATCAGAAGCGTCATCACAGTCACTCTCTCGTTCCAAGTCTCGTGCTCTGGAAGAAGGTCCACTTATGTCATCCTCCAATCTTTCCCCTTCCATTTCATGCGTCATGCTTGAAGGAACAATCCTTGAAGCTCAGTCGCTAACGGGCCTTGTCAGGATCAGAGTGACATCTATTCACTCTGTGGCTGCCTGCGCCTTACTATTCAGGATTCTATGCGAGCCAAGTACTTAAGGGAGCGAAGCAGAGCGTCCCTGCCGTCCCTTGCAGTGCGGGCTGGGAATTGTTTTGCTCCTTTTCCGCACACGGCAACAAGAGTTGGTTCGAGCAAGGATGCGGAGCTCGCAGGTTGTCCTGTGTCTTGTTCGCTATCAACCTCTTGTCCTGCAGGGTCAGAGCTCGTGGACCCGTCCCCCTGGCCTTCGCGGATTGCAGCGCTGGTCCAACATGAGCGCCCCCTCTACCATGTTCAGTTACTTTGATCGGGAGAGCGGTGGGGTTGGGGTTCTGGATGTATCATTGCAATGGGGGTGGACATTGGGATGGTGGGTAGGGGTACCTTGACAAAGGATGTTAGGGTTTTGCACTTGTACCAAACATAGTAAAATGCTCAAGATGGAGGTTATAGTCAAAAGGTAGCTAGAATTTGATGGGTAGGGTGATTCCAACCAAGGGTAGCTACAAAGCTTTCTTGGGTAGGGGACAGAGTCACAGGGGGTGGAAGGAGATTTGAAGCTGAATGTTGAATTTTCACTGCTATATTCCAAATATTTATGGTCAATTTCCAAGCAATTCAGAACACGATTTGTCATTTTTTGACGGGAATGGGAAGTCGTGATAGGGTAGTACCTGAAAGGGGGTTACAACAATCAAGGGTGGGTGGTATCGGGGCTCGTAGGGGGTGTTTCGAGGAAAGAGGCAATTGGTTGGGGTAGTCCTACTAGGGGGTAGGGTCCATCAGATCCGCCGTCTGGGGGCCAAGGGTAAGGGAATTTGGGGGTGGAGGGGGGAGGGGATTGGGGTGAGTGCGGAGGGGAGAGGGGTAGGCAATCCGCTCTTTAGATCACTTAGAAAATGATGACCCCTTGATGGGGGCAAGGGGACCTGGAACGCGCTGCCGCCCCCAGTTGCCCTACCCCCTGGGGAATCAAAGAGATATGCATGCCTGTCACCCGGGGACTGGGCAGGGTAAACGGGGGTACTTTGCTGGAGTGATGGGGGTGGTGGTACTACATTTGGCAAAGTAGGGGTAGGGTAAGCAAAGGAAAGGAGTTCAGCCTTGGTTAGGATGGTATGGTAAATTAATTAGAGGCTCAATCGAGAAACAAGGCAGGCCCCGCACACTGACTCCAAGGGGTCGAGGATTGCCTGGAGCAGTGATGACCACGGGTGGGGTGGAAGGATCGCTCCCAGAAACCTACGAAGGATGATGTACGGGTTATTTCGAAGTCAAATTGTGGGGTGGGGATGAAATGGGTACAAATGACTTTACTTAATGATACTATCTCTCACACCTGGTGTTGCCTTGATAACTAATTTGTACCTACCCACCCCCCTACCTACAGATTTCACAACCCCACCCTACAGTCTCCAAAATGAAGCTACCCTTCTTTGTACCCACCCGCCATGGACAGACTTCTTCGGATAGGAACCACCCCCAGATGTCCCTACGTCTCTTGCTCCAATTTTCAGTAAGGGTGGTGTGGGGTGGGGCGGTAGACACCGGTTCCACAGGGGTGCTTTGATCTGCCGCCCCGCATTGCTAGAGAAGGGGGGTCCCCTAGTAGAATAACCAGAGAGAACCGGGGTAGGTGTGATGATGGAGGAGTTGGAGGGTCAATATTGGTGGAGTGGTAATAGTCCTTCAAACAGGGGTGGATACTGTACTAGAAAAGGGGGGTCATGGAACTGATCGAGGGGATAGGGGTAGGGTACGAAAGGGTACACGCACCGCGATCACGGAGGAGCAGGTTGAGTTGGCGTATACATTTGAAGGTAAATTTGAATACTTGCTAGACTTCTTCCCAAATGATGGCAAATTTGAAATTTGCGTTGGAAAATTTATCAAACTATGTTGCAATTTCTCCACTCACTCGCCAGCTTGTGTTGTCAGCAATCAATCCGTCTGGAGGGTCGATTTCGTTGCCTGGCTAAAAATCCAGAAACATTTTTGAAAAGCCGCATCAGAATCTGCAGGCAAAGATTCAATTATACACAGTCATTTTCAAACGACGAAAGCGCGAGGCGGCGGCGCGGTGAATGGCGAGAATGTGCACGGAGGAGGCGGATGTAGCTGTCATGATGATGATGAAGCGCAACGAGAGAAGGAAGTAAAAGTGTGTGGAGACATCTATCATGCCAATAGCATGGTCAGCGAGGCAATCTATGAAGTAACTGAGGTGTTTACATACGGTTTTGTAGGCAGTGTTATTGGGACGCTTTATCGCTGGATGTGTAAGATTTAGCTATTGAGGAGTAGAATCTTTCAGGAAAGAGCGGCATTCATGCTCGATTGAACAAAGAAGACCAGGTGCTGTGTTAGTTTATCTTTAGCGTGAAGGTGTTGGGCTTGATTCCTGTCTCCGAGGACACGATCACAGAAGGCCCTTTCTATCGTGACATCTAGTGATGCTGAAGATGCAACAGTCTAACATAAGGCACAATGCCGATGTCGATCTGCAGTAGCATGTAGTTGGTAGGATGAAAGATATATGAAGGAGAATCATGGATTCATGGGATTGAAGTAATTCACAGAGCTGTGCATGTCCTAGTTCCTGGCACCTGTTTCCCATACGCTCAGATATCCTTTCTGTCCCTGTTGTGATGTCTATGCAGGGGCTCTGGGTGATTTATATGCCCCTGTCTCTTTGAATCAGCTACTCGCTGCTGTTTGCTGTGGGCATTGCATTGGAGTTCTCAGGGTTTTCTGGCGAGGGTTGAAACGGCAATTGCAACCATCTGCGTTTTTCTGTTAGCTACATGACAATGACTGAGAGCTGGAAACTGGTGCAAACAATCGGCGACAAGCCTGTTGGGAGCTTGACTGATGGTGATCTGCTTTGTCTGTGGACTTTTGATGTGATGGAATATATGAGCAGGCGACGTTGTATCGGCTGTCGAATTCGACGAGAAAGGTCAATACCTTGCAACCGGGGACAGAGGAGGTCGAGTGCGAATCTATGAGAAGACTGATGTATCTCAAGCAAGTTCTCCTTCGAGCCTGCGGTAAGTTGAACGCGAAGCATTACGGGAACAACTATATGACTTCCTGCTTAGGCGGACGATCACTGGAGCTATATCTTCGCATCATGATAAGGGGCCAGGTAGATGCCCAGTGGATGGGTGGCACTCGTTGTACACTAACAAGAGATGAAAAGGTTTCGAGTATAAATTCTGGCATGAATTCCAGAGTCATGAAGCAGAGTTCGACTATCTCAAGGTATGTCAAAAGAGGTTGTTCCGTGATGGTGATGGAAACCACAGTCGCTGGAAATTGAGGAGAAGATTAACTGCCTACGTTGGTGCAAATCGATGAACAATTCTTTCATGCTGCTCACTACGAACGGTATTGTCTTGTACTTGAGCCCGTTTCGTTGCTTACTCCTGGCAGACAAAACGATCAAGTTGTGGAAAGTTCAAGACAAGAAGAAGCAATCAGCAATTGCAGAGTTCAGGCCAAAGGTGGATGCCTAGTCTGAGAGTTCATGAACTTTCATTTATTTACTGATACCTCGGACAGGTTGCTCCGAAGAATGGTAAAGGGGTTAGCCAGATCCAGTTTCCGAATCTGCATCCTGGTAAGTCTGTTACGATCATTGGTTAACAGCTGTGTTATTTCTTTGTTCCAGGTGCTCGAGGAATTGTGTCAACTCCAAAGCGTGTCTTTGCGAACGGACATGCTTACCACATAAACTCGATTTCTCTCAACAGGTTGAAAATTGCCTTGACTGCGTCTGTGGCATGATTGTTGCTTGCAATCATCTACAGCGACTGTGAGACATTCATCTCGGCCGACGATCTTCGTATCAACCTCTGGAATCTTGGAATCTCGGACACGAGCTTTAGTAAGTCTCTTCCCGTGGCTCCCGCAAGCATCTTACCACCTGGACAGACATTGTAGATATCAAACCTGCCAACATGGAAGAGCTCACTGAGGTCATTACCGCTGCAAGCTGTCATCCTGAACAGGTTTTGTTCGTCGCCGTCTTGTTACAGTGGGACTTACATGATGCCCAGTGCAACGTCTTCCTGTGGAGTAACAGTCGCGGAAGGTCAGGCGGCATGAATCGTTCTGAAGATGTGTAGCCTGACATTCAACGAAGCATCAAACTTGCCGATACGCGTGACAGAGCGCTGTGTGACACTCACGCAAAAGGTACTTTTGGATATTAATCATGTGACGTGATTGACCTCTGAGGCAGTGTTTGAGGAGGAAGATGATCCTTCTCGGCGATCCTTTTTTTCAGAAATTATAAGCTCGATAGGTGCTTTCGCTTTGAGTCACTTCACAACAAAGAAATAACCCGCCATGCAGCTGATGTAAAGTTTTCACGTGACGGACGCCATATTCTCTCGAGGTACTTTTGAAATGCTTTGTATGTAATCATGGGATCATTGTAACCGCGCTGGAAGGGATTATATGTGCTTGAAATTGTGGGATGTCAATATGGAATCAAGACCGATTCGAACCATTTATGTACATGAGCAGTTAAGAAGCAAGTAAGCGCCTCCCTCAATTGCTCATATCTTCTGACTGGATGCGGCAGATTGTGTGATTTGTATGAAAACGATGCGATCTTCGATAAATTCCAGTGCTCGTTCTCTGGTGACTCCAAGTTTCTCCTTACTGGTAATTTTGCAGTCAGAGGTTATTTTGGGGTTGAATCCTGCGATTTATCAAGGTTCCTATCACAACTATCTTCACATCTACGAGAGGATCGGCAAGGGAGACGTTTGCATTGAGGCAGCGAAGGTACAGCAACAACCTTCACCACCTATGGTGCTGATAAGGTGTATTTATGAAAGAAACCGGTGAGCAAGTCCAGGCTGAACCTGCCAAGGCCCAAATCGAAGAAACCGTAAGTCGTCCGTGGTTTGTAAACAACTTGTGGTGACATGTGCGACTGACAGAGAAGAAGTTACTGAGATGGATCTTGACAAGAAGGTGTTGCATTGCGCATGGCATCCGTCAGGTGGATGACATTCTTGTATCGAGCTCATTCACTCACGAGTCCTCAGATCCCTGCGTTGCTGTTGGAGCTCTGAACACAGTCTACGTGTATCACAACGCGGAGGTTCAAAAGGTAAGCTGGCTGTCACCGAACCGACCAACAACTTCTCGCCCTCTTGCTCCTCTCCCAAGCCTTGATGACTTACGCTTACCTCTCCGCATGCAACCCTCCCCCTCCCCCCCTTCTTCTCGCCCAAACAAAGTATGCTACCAGTTGGACTTATTCCCATACAGCAGATGGCAGGAGGGAGCCATTGAATCATGGGGTGATTGATTTGTTTCGACGTGCGTTAAGGAATCCATCGTGTCACCTTCGTTGCTCTTGTTTTTTTGTTCGTCGTAAGTTTTGAAGTCTCACAAGGGGGGTTGGAGGATAAGGGGGCGAGGGGAGAAGCCAGGGGGCTTCTTGAGAGGGGCAGGTCGCTGCCGTTCAGGGTTGACAGTTGTTTAGCGTCACTCAATGCTACATGCTGCAAGGAAATGTATGAGAATGAAGACAAAATTACCTTCTCGCTCTCGCTCCTGCCGTGTCCAACACGTTATTCGCATGTCTTGTTCGATAATTTACAAAGAATCTTGTCAACTACAGGTGCCGTCACTCTGCATTCTTGATTCTTTCCGATGCTTGATCGGATGGAGTGTCATTTTGGGATAGAATTCTCTCTTGATCCTGTCCGACAACACTCGACACTCTTTGAGATGCGCTGACTTCTGTCGCGATGTCAGCAGTGACACGACATCGCCGGTTTCTGCTACTTACTTCTCGTTGCAATTCTCTCACTCCTTGCACCTGAACGCAGCATCACCATCGATCTTTCAGACAGCAAGAACATGTGTTTTCAATCTCACCACACTCGCAGCATCTCCGAACAATTTCTAGCCAAATCCTGTCAGTAATTGACATCAATGTAGGCATCTTCGATGCCACACGAACGCCTCTTCTACTGACCTGCGATGTCTGGACCAGAGCATGAGCATCGGCTCCTCTCCTCCTCGCAAGCTCTGCCTCCCTCCTCGCCTCCTCCCCTCGCTTCCTCGCCATCATGCACGCTTTCCCTCCAGCTTCGGCCATCGATGAGAAAAGGAGGTGATTTGACCGCATATCCCAACCACCCCCGAGTATTCCCAGATGGAATGGTGTCTATGGGGTGGGTAGTCCCTTGTCAAACATTGAAGAGGCGGAGACGAAAGATGCAGGAAGGAGAAAATGGCGAGTAAGGAGCAGAAGAGCAGGAGCAGGAGCAGGAGCAGGAGCAGGAGCAGGAGCAGGATCAGGAGCAGGAGCAGGAGCAGGAGCAGGAGCAGGAGCAGGAGCAGGAGCAGGAGCAGGAGCAGGAGCAGGAGCAGGAGCAGGAGCAGGGGCAGGGGCAGGGGCACTGATGATCATATACAAGACTATTTTAGACTGGCACTTGTTGTTTCGAGCATGTCGAGGACCTCTCCTGCTCTCACTCCTGCTCTAGATCAGGCATGTCGTACGCCGAGTCATCCCGGTCGATGGGCAGCCAGGCCTACGCCATGTCCTTTTTCTCCAAGTCCGAGAACATGGTTTGCAGCATCTGTCAGACTCGAGGACACACAGAGGCCAACGTGAGCGACATGTCACATCACCTCCCATTCTTTCATCCCTCCCCTCTCACCCTTTCCTTCTTCCCCGTCTCTCCTCTCCTCCTCTGCCCAGTATTCCTCTCTCGTCTACTCCCCTCCCCTCTCCTGTTATGCCCTCCCCTCCCCTATGTCTGACGCTGTGCAGTGTCGCGTAGCTTGCAAGTTCTGTCACAAGCGGGGCCATCGCTACCAGGAATGCCCATCCAAGTGCGAGGGGAGATGCAGCATCGTGAGGGATCCGTTCCTGGGCAAGGACGGTGAGGAGGAGGAGGAGGAGAAGGAGGAGATAAAGTGGAGGAGGAAGAGGACACGAGGAAGAGGAAAGGAGATGGAGCAAGGAGAGACAAGGAAGATGAGGAGCAAGAGAACGAGGAGGGAGGGGAGAAGGATCCTGTTTCACTTGTCTCACTTCTACTCCGAAGCCTCAAGGTCACTGGGCATCGAGCCGTGGAAGTGCTGCTCCCGCTCGAACCAGTGCTGGCAGAAGTACTGCTGCCTGTGCGCGCGGACCTTCGGCTGGTCCCACTACGACCAGTACAAGTACGGCCAACGCCCCTACTCACTCTCCCTCCCCTCCCTTCTCCTTCCTTCTTCTCCCTTTCTTCCTCCCTCCTCCTTCCTCCCT